CCCCAAAACCCCAAAACCCCAAAACCCCAAAACCCCATTATTCTCGCAAATATATTTTTAATAAACTTAATCAGTATCGTTCTCATCTGCTATCTCAGGTTCATGAACCCCAGCTGGTTTCAAGTAAGGAGTGGGCTTCGCTAAGGCTCCTTCTAACTCATTATACGCATCTTTTTGTAATTGCTGAGTATTCTGTAACTTCTTGATAAGCTCCATCTCTATCCTTTCGAGTTCCATAACTTCATTCTCTTTGTTCAGTCGAACATTGTCTTCTTCTTCAATACGGCTTTCGTAATTATTCTTTGATTCTTTTTCTATTTTCCTTTTGAGCTCATCTCGCTTGATCTTTTGTATGTTATGATGCTGTCTGATAATGTCTGTTTTAATTTTATTCTCCTGCTCTACTCTCTTCTTCTGGTTCTTCCTTCTTTGGTCATTCTGCTTCTTCTGAAGCTTAGCCATTTTGGCCTCCTGCTTTTTGGAAATTAGCAAAGCTTCTTTGATCTTTTTCTGTTCTTCCTTTCTTTGGTTCCTAATAGCGACATTTCTCTTTCTGAGTTTGGTCTTTTCTTCGTTTTCTTTTTTGGTTTTGAACACTTTTTCTTTGTATTTTGCTTCGTTTCTTTTATTTGAGTATCATTACTTCATTGGTTCTTTTCTTAGTTTCATCTATTTTCTTCCTTGCCTTCTTTTCTTCCATTTGAAGGAGGGCAATACGGTTTTTGAGCAGTTCTGCATCTTTTTCAACCTGCTTTCGTTGAGCTTTGGCGTCCATGAGCCTTTTGGAGTCATTCTCGTGGTTTTGCTTTAGCTCTTCCATGTAATCATCCTGGTTTTCCTGGCTGTTGTCTCTGTCGTCTCCTGTGCCGTTCTCGTCCTCTCTATAGGGAATCTTAGAGTTTTTGGAATAATTTTTCAAAATTTTTGTTTGCACAAAGCTTTTAATTTATTTAGATTTTTCTTGATTAATTTTAGAGTCAAGCCTAAAAGTTTCTAGAAAAAGTTGTGAGCTCCTAAGGATTTAGGATGAGCAGAGATAGCTTTTTGGGATAATATAGTCTGTGCTCTTCAGAGAGCTCTACCCAGCATTTTCATTAATGAAAGTCTTATACCTTGCATCATGATCATCTTCTTGATGAATCTCTGAATCTCCTGTGTTGTTCTTTGGTTCCATGAGAAATAAAGTTTCTAAATAAAATTTAAATAATTTCACAGATTCGGGGTTTTGGGGTTTTGGGGTTTTGGGGTTTTGGGGTTTTGGGG